CTGCTCCTATAAAGATTTACAGCCTTGGAAACCCTATGGGGCAGTTCTACTCTGTCTTATTTGTAAGGGAGTTGGAGTTGACTTGACAGCAATGGGTTTTTGGTAGGTTGGCAGTAGCACTGTGGAAGAAAGGTCTGGCAATCTGCTTCCATAAAGATTACAGACAAAACCCTATGAAGCTCAGATCTACTCTAACACATGGGGATGCTATGACTCAGAATCCACTCCACAGCAGTGGGTTTAAGATATATAACGGATTATTTTAATTTTATGCATAGATTTTTGAATTTCCTAAATTACTTTCTATAATCAGTTGTTAAAGGATATAATTTTTTATTGATATAATTCACATACCATAAAACCCACCCTTTGAAGTGTACAATTCGGTGGTGTTAGTATATTCAGAGTTGTACAACTGTCATCACTAATTCCAGAACATTTTCATTACCCTAAAAAGACACTCTGTACCAGGGCTTCAAAGCTGTTTGTTCTGGTTCAAACCCTGCTGAGAATTTGCATTTCCATCCCAGATATACCGAATCTGAATCTACAGTTTAACAAGATCCCCAGGTGATTCTTATGAGTAATAAATTTTGAGAACCACTGCTCCACTAGTGGTTCTCATTATTGGTCCCTAACCAGCAGTGTTAGCGTTGCCTGGGAACTTCTTAGAAATACAAACCCTAGCAGTCACTCCCCATTTCTCCAACCCCACCAGCCCTTGGCAACTGCTAATCTGCGTTCTGTCTCTATGCATTTGTTTATTCTAAAAATCTTACAATATGTGGCCTGGTGTCTGGCTTCTTTCACTCAGTATAATGTTTCCAAGGTTCATCCATGTTGTAGCATGTATCAGAGCTTCATTCCTTTTTTATGGCAGAATAATATCCCACTGTATGGATATATCACATTTCGTTATCCTCCATCAGCTGATGGACATTTGGGTTGCTTTGTCTTTTTTGCTATTATGAACAGTGCTCTACGAACAATCATGTATACATTTTCATCTGTACTTTTGAGAACACTTTTCCACACATACGCTCATCATTGTGTTCAACTCTTCACAAGATTTACAGAAAGGCGCACTCAAGAGAACCACACATTGTGTTATTTTGCCAGCTGGCATCAAGCATCACTCTCTCCTTCCATTTAGATAAATGACTCTGGAGGCATCTCTCTCTCACCCCCATTAACTCAAAACACATTCCTTAATAAAAATGGCTTGTTTTCCTTTTGAAAGAAATACTTGCTTCAACTTACTGGCTCTGTGGTTCCATTGTTCTTGAGCTGAGCATCTCCAACAACGACATCTGCTCTCCATACTTCTGGATCTCCATTACCTGGGCCTGTGCTCCGAAGTGTTGGTAATCACCTGCTGTCATGAGCGCCTTTCAGATGCCCTTGGTCTAGGGCAGTGGTTTTCAATCAAGATGCACATTTTAATCACCTGGGGGAACTATGTTACTGAGTAGGTCAGAATCTCGGAGGTGTCTGAGCATGGGTCATTTTTAGAAGCTCCCAGGTGACTCTGATATGACGGACCTACGGTTGAGACTCACTTATGCCGTGTAACAGGGGGGCTAGGACAATCTGGAAAGCTTGGGCACAGATTCTGCAAATCCTGGGGTGGGACAGGGAGAAAGGGTGGAAGCAAGTGACTGTAGCAGCTAATGAAACACAGAGCCCATAATCTGAGCTCTGGAGTCAGGCAAAGCCAGGTTCAAACCTCAGAGCCAACAGCTACCAGCTATGATCTTGAGCAAGCTTTTTACACCTGTCAGTTCCCCTATCTTGTTCTCTGATTACTCACTTTTCAAGTAGCCCATTCTTAGTGACACAATTGTCTCTGGACTCGTTCTCAAGATACTGATTAGATCAAAAAAAATTTTTTTTCTTCAGTTTCCTGAACTGCTTGCTTTTCTGCAGGTGTCAAATGTTTTCTTTGTTCATCTTGGGTCTTCTCTTCCATACTGCTGGCTGTCCTCAAACATCTGATGATCGCTGGTGATTCTGATTGGGTTAGTGTAGATAGGTGGCATGGATTTCCTCTATAAATGTGAAGGCATATTTCTATGGACCTTGCCCTTAAATAGTTGAAATAACTGTAACTGCACAGGCTGGCTCAAAACCTCCAGGTTCCAAAGAAAACCCAAAATTAAATCCACTGCCATCGAGTTGATTCTGACTCACAGCGACCCTACAGGACAGAGAAGAACTGCCCCCATCGGGTTTCCAAAGCTGTAAATCTTTACAGAAGCAGACCGCCACGTCTTTTTCCCACAGATTGGCTGGTGCGTTTGAACCGTTGACCTTTCGGTTAGCAGCCAAGTGCTTTAACCCCTGCGGGTTCCAAGGAAAGGAGGGCTTTACTCTGGGGTTGGTGAGGTTTGAAGTTACTGCTTTCACCTGGGCTCAGGAGAAGGAGGAGCCAAAATTAACCTGTAGGTGGTTTAGCCCAGGTGAATAGGAGGATTGATAGAAAGGCACACAGAGGAGCTATTTGGTGAGACTCGTAAAATGATGTGTTTGGGGGATGCTCTTTGAAGTGGATATTTATCTTCATTTGCTCCAGTCTGAGCCCGTTCCCTATGCACAGGGCATCTGGTCTATGTGTATTTTGGTAGAAGGGTGAGCAGGACCTCACTTTCTGCTATGGAAGCAAAAACGTCCATCTATGTGTTCTCTGGAAGCTATGACCTAGGCACACAATTTAAAATGTGTCCATCGTATACCGCCCAAGATTTTGAGTATGGATCAGGTAATGAATGCAAAGTCAAGAGGACAGTTGAGAATCCACGCTGGTGGGGTGATGATGGACGGTAGTGTTATGGGTTAAAGTGTGTCCCCCCGCAAAAAAAAATAAGTGTTGGAATCCTAACCCCTATATCTGTGGATGTGAAAATAGGGTTTTCTGTTAATTAGATCATACCCCAGTAGGGTGGGTTCTAAATCTTATCACTTCTGGGTTATAAAAAGAGTGGATTAGGCCAGATTAGCACACACATGGGAGAGAGAGATGCCATGTGAGCATTATCTACAAGCCAAGGAACCAAGGAATGCCTGGACTACCTACAAGGAAGGAATCGACACAACGGAGACTTTGATTTCGACTTCTAGCCTCAGGAACTGTGAGACAGTTCTTTAAAGCCACCCACTTGTGGTATTTGCATTGCAGCAACACTAGGAAACTAAGACATGGAGTGATTCATGGGTGGTGTCTACATGCAGAGGTGGTGCCCGTGGGGATTAACAGTATCTGGTGGGAGAGGTACCCAACCACGCTCTTCCTGTGTCTTGACCTTGGCTCCGATCCTGGGCAGCTAAGTTTCTGCCTTTTTTCCAACCCTGATTTTCCTGCATTTCAGTCAGTTTTGTGAGATTTCTAATGTCCTTCAAATAAATGTCATTCTCTTTCAGTTAGCCAGCACTGGTTTATGGTGTTTGCACCCAAGAGTCCTGACTGACATAGAATTTTGGTTCTTGGAGCTGGTACAAAACCAAAAACCAAACCCGTTGCTGTCGAGTCAATTCTGACTCATAGCGACCATATAGGACAGAGTAGAACTGCCCCATAGAGTTTCCAAGGAGCGCCTGGTGGATTCGAACTGCTGACTCTTCGGTTGGCAGCCGAGTTCTTAACCACTGGTAGTAGCTAACAAATCCTTCAGAAAATTTAAGAATTTGGCATTGGTATCTGGCTTAAGTAAGATTACAGAGAAAATCAACTTAGTATATGGAGATATGAATCAGGCTTCTTATAAGCGGGCTGTGGTGAAACAGCTAATTAGATTAGTGCTTACAGTCACCTGGAATGAAGTGAGCATTAAAGGGAAAGCTTTGAAGGAATGAGTTGTTCCTGCCATCAAACAGGGTCAAGTATATGAGACCGAGAGATGGCCAAGTTAAACAGCTGAGCAACTTAAAAAAGACACTGGCAAGCTCAAAACCTTAACAGTTTAAGGAACGGGTTGAAACTTAAGGCTTTCTATGACAATTCTTTAAAATCCTCTTACCTCTTACATCCATAAGGCAGAGAAAAGAGAAAGCTAAACACAAATTTTGATCCTGAGGACTGGCTGAATTTCTATGCTGGTAACATCATAGCCTTTCCAAAGAAAACTGGAACATTGAAGAGGAAACGGTAGGGCCCAGAGAATCGAAATGGGGATATACGGGAGGATTTGAAGAACTTGGGACCTCCGGGAACTGTGATAGAATAAATTGTTTTAAGCCACCACATTTGTGGTAATCTGTTTGAGCAGCCCCGGGGAATGAATACCATGTGGATATTTCACATTTTAACCAGTTGCCTTTTCTTTCCACTCCCTGTACTCATTCTCTTGTACATACAGTGGGTGATTATGGTTAACTTTACACTTTAGCCCACAGGTCATATAACAATGAGATGGAATTATGACTCAACTGGAGGGGGAGTGGACCTTACTCAGAGACCCTGGATGCAGCGATTGACAAAGCACTGAGGGTAGCTCCCTTCGTAATGGGGATGAGTTAAGGTTTGAGTGTATAAGGGATAGCTCCTTTATCTAAGCAGAAACTTTTTTTTATTGTAAGTAGGAGAATAGAATGTATATAGATGTTAAACAGCAAAAGAGTGAGACTGTAATAAACTTTTTTTTTCTTCTTTTGGATCTCTAGCCTCTGAACTCCTCCCTACATTTGGAAAATCTCCACTATTGTGTGGGTCTTGGTAAGGGGAAGACAAGCTAGTTCATGAGCACAGGATCTAAGCTCTGCTGGTCAGATGTTGCTGCCCATAACTTTGAATGTGGTCATTGTACAAAGACTCAAGGTCAGCTGACAGTTCATTGTCATGGTGGTAATATCGAGGGGCAGCAGTTTCAGTAAGGGTATTGGTATCTAGTGACCGGCAGTGGGGGCCATGGCACCCAAACTAAGCTGTTCTTGAGGTGTGATCCAGTCATGGACCCAAGACTCTAAGTTTCTTGGATCCAACCCATTTTCCAGGCCTGATTCTCCTGTAGATCCTATGAGCTCCCCTATAGCTTCCATTGAATCCCTTTTCTCTTTAAATAAGCTGGAGTTGGATGCTGTTGTTTGCAACCAAGAATTGAATAGCCCTTCTCATCTGAGCTCTTTCCTTTGCTGCTACTGATGCTGGGGAGGGGTGATGTTAGTACTAACTTTAGTTAACTCTTGTATTATCATCCCTGTAAAGAAGTGGCTTTGAGAAGAATTCAACACAGTCCAGGTCATTCACAACAATATCCCCTTTATTGACGTTAATCACAGTTATGAGGTCTTGTCCATCAAAAAGAACAATTTGCATTAGGTAGAACTACGTACAAAGACATAAAAATAAAACATACACACACACCACCCACCAAACCAATTAATCTCAACCAATCAAATCTCAGAATGGGCTTTTGATTTTGATCACCAGTGCTTCAGAAGAACATACATAGACCCAGGCACAAGGTTGGCCCTTAGGGTCTTTGAACGTGTACAGAGCAGGAGATTCACCTTTGGAAGCAAATGAACATGTAAATGTGGAGGGCAGGCATTGCCAACACAATGTCTGCATACCTGGCTCTTGGCTACCTGCCTCTCAGTGGAGTCCACTCAAGGTCCCATATCTCCTTTGACCCATGAGGATGGCAGGCCTTAGCTGTGTTTGAAGCGGACAGAAGCTATGTGTCTGAAAGAGCAGGTTGGCTTCCAGTCTAGTTCAAGCCCTTCTTTAGGGTCATTTCAGAATGATAGCTTGGCTAAAATTTACTTTAAAAGGGAAATGTAAAAATATCACTTATTTTCCTACCTCTTCCTCCTTTCCCAGCCTAAGCTCTCTGGCCAAACTCTAGCAAAGCCTACTGCAGCTTCAGAGTTCTGGGTCGGGTTACAAGCTACCAAATGGTCAACACAGAATGACCCACAGCAGATTCTAAATGTCTCATTACAGTGGCTTCCTCCATAGTAGAATGAAGGGTTTGAGTGAGACCAGTTTACTGGTGTTCCCAAACCTCTTGTAGAAATTAAGGCTATAAACTTATTAAATTAAATACCTAGAGGACTGGGAAACCATAACCAATCATGTTGCTCTTGGAATCCACTTTACCACCCAAAGAGAGCCGAGGTCGGTGATCTAAGCTACACTCTGTCTTCTTTTCACAGGGCTTACTGTGTGTTTAGTTGTCTTAATACCATTCACTTCAATAATATCAATCTTTGCCTTAAAAAGAGAGACTAGCCAATTTCACTCTTTGTGTCACTCTGGGGAAACTGAGGAAAGTATGTTGCTTCTTGGGCTGAGTGGACCTTGGAAAGTATTTTGCTATGACCATGATCTTCCAGTTCTGGTCTAAATAAGCAGAGGACAAGAAGTGAAGGATCAAGTAGGACAGAAAAGAGACGGCCTGGCCATTCTGCTCTGAGTCATTGGGCAAAAGGAGCATAGGAGACGGGTCTTGGTTGCTTGCTTCTGCTGGTAGCGTTCGAAGAGTTGCTGTTGAGTCTAGCAAGGGACACTGAAGGTTTGAAGGCAGAGATTTCCCTGATCTGTATGTCTTTGATACTCTCGATGAAGAAAGAGTCCATACAGTAGCCAAAAAAAAAATCTGTAGTTTCACACCTTGAAATCCCAAATAAAACCAAAATCCCCTCAAAAGAAAAATAAACAGAGTCATATTAAAATCCTAGTCAATCAGGATAATGGGATGAAGAGGAAAGAAAAGAGGAATGTTTTAATGTGAAGAAAGAGGTTTGTGGTTCCACGGAAGCCAATTACTCCTGTTCCACGTGCTGCCTTTCCTGGGGTCTGAAGCATCTCAGCACTAGCCCAGGCCAACATCCAGGGACATCATCACCACAAATCCCAGGATGGAGGCCCAGGATGCCAGTTTTCCATTACCACTAGGAGGCAAGGAGAAGAAGAACAGTGAAGAGCTTAATGTATTCTGAGAGCACATCTAGCCCTCAGAGCATCCTTTACAACGTCCAATTCCAATAGAAAATAGGATACTGCTATTAATAATGATAACAATAGTGACAACTCACATTTATTGAGGCTTACTATATGCCAGTGGAGCTCTAGTGGTGCAGTGGTTAAACTGCTTGGCTGTTAACCAAACGGTCAGCAGTTTGAACCCAACAGCAGCTCCGTGGAAGAAAGATGTGGCAGTCTGCTTCCATAAAGATTACAGCCTTGGAAACCCTATGCGGCAGTTCTACTCTGTTCTATAGGGTCTCTATGAGTCAGAATCAGCTTGACAGCAATGGGTTTGGTTGGACTATATGCCAGGCAAACTGGTTACCGAATGTAAATCCAAACAACAACCACAGGTCAGTACCGTTATCATGTCCACTTCTGTTTTGATTAGGAGCTGCAGAGTGGATTCCGACGCCCAAAGACCCAAGTGATAGAACTGCCCCATAGGGTTTCTAGGCTGCAATCTTTTTTGGAGTAGATTGCCAGGTCTTTCTCCTGCGGAGCCACTGGATGGATTCAAACTGCCAAATTTTCGGTTAGCAGCTGAGCGCTTAACCCTTTGTGCCACTAGGGCTCCCTATCCTCACTTTACTAGTGAGGCAACTGAGGCATAGAGAAGTAAGAAACTTGCCCAAAGTCGCCCGGTATGGCTCCAGAGTCCATACTTGCATAATGAAGAACGGCAAATTTCTTGAAGATACCATTTAATCAGACCTTGCAAACCAGCCTCAAAATCATTCTACTGTAAAAAACCAAACCAAAGCAACCTTGTCTCCCCCAAAACTTGGAGTATAGCTGGACAAAGAGAACATGCACGAATAGTTCTGGCCCACATTTTAAAGCACACTTCTCCCATCACTCCAGCCCCAGTAAATTCTAAAAAGAGAGAGACAGCATACAAAAATGATAGTCACGGGTGGTGCAAACAGTTAACGTGCTTGGCTGCTAACTGAAAGGCTGGAGATTCGAGTCCACTCAGAGGCACCGCGGAAGAAAGGCCTGGAGATCTACTTCTGAAAAATCGGCCATTGAAAACCGTATGGAGCACAGTTGACACACATGGGGTCGCCATAAGTCAGAATCGATTCCACAGCAACCTATAAGTATTTCATTGGGAGTGGGCAGGGACCACTGCCTGCTATGCTTGTTTTTTGTCCTTTCTGTCTTTTAGTTTTGCGGAATGCAGGTGAGGAGGGGGCAGGTTGGATCTTGGGAAGGGGTGGAAATGAAGAAAGGGGAGACATTGAGGAGAGGGCAGACCTGGAGGCTGGGCTGGGACAGAGGCGGGAGGGGCGCTCTCCTACCTGGTCTGGGCTTCTGGGATGATGTCGTCCATGACCACGTAGACCATGGCCCCAGCAGCAAAGGCCAGAGCGTAGGGCAGGATGGGCTCAGCAAGCACCACCGCGAAGGCACCAAAGATGCCGGCCAGAGGCTCCACCATGCCGCTTAGCTGCCCGTACCTAAGGAGAGAAAAGAGATGTGCCTCGCTGGGGAGACCGGGCAGACATTCAACATGCGCAGACTGCTGACTCAGCTCTAGAAAATGGGCTCATTTTATTCCCCATCATGCATTTTTCATATCCTGTTTGTTTATCACCTCCCTCTCCTTCCCCAATTCCCTAGCAAACAAAGCAGGCTCCCCCATTTCTTTCAGAGTTCTAAATTTCCTACATTTCAAAAATAACATTAATGAGATATAATTCACATACCATACAATACACCCATTCAAAAGTGTACAATTCAGTGGTTTTTAATATAGTTATGCAACTATCACCACACTAATTCCAGAATATTCTCATCGCCCCGAAAGGGAACCCTGTACCCATTAGCAGCCACTCCCCATTCCTCCCTCCCCCCAGCCCCTGGCAACCACTAATCTAGTTTCTGTCTCTATGGGTTTGCCTACTCTGGATATTTCACAGAAACGGGAACACACAATATGTGGTCCTTAGTAACTGGCTTCTTTCACTGAGCATAATAGTTTTGAGGTTCATCCCTGTTGTAGCACCTATCAGAACTTCATTTCTTTTTATTGTCAAATAATATTCCATTGCATGGGTAGACCACATGTAATTTTTCATCCATCGGTTTACGTCTACATTGTCTTTTGAATGGAAGAATTAGGAGTGGCATGGGCATTTCCCAAGGACAGATGGGCCTGGCATGTTTGGGGGTTCAAGCTGCAGCCACACCCCTTTTAAAGGTGCTGCACCCACCCAGCATCTGTTGAAGAGGAGGGCCTACCTGGCCACGTGTATATCAAGGGTGTGCCCCCTCACCCTGAGTGAGATTTCTCCTTTTAACACATCCCATTCTTTGAGCTAGCGTGAGTGGGTCTCAGCTGCTTGAAATCAGACAGCCCTGATTAAAACAGCAGCACCCAGCAGCACTGAGAATTTGGAGAGTAGGAGATCAGCTAACACCTGAACCCCACTGCCCGAGCCCCACAGGAACTACAGGCTGAACAAGAGGGCAGTGGCGGTTCAGTGGGAGAATTCTCACCTTCCGTGTGGGAGACCGGGGCTCGATGCCCGGCCAATGCACCTCATGAGCAGCCACCACCATCTGTCAGTAGAGGTCTGCAGGTGGCTGTGATGCTAAAGAGGTTTCAATGGAGCTTGTAGACTAAGACAGACTACGGAGAAAGGCCTGGGGATCTGCTTCCAAATATCAGCCAGTGAAAACCCTACGGATCACAACAGTCCAATCTGTGACCCATCATGGGGATAGTGCAGGATCGGGCAGCGTTTTGTTCCACTGTGCATGGGGTCACCATGAGTTAGGGGGTGACTTGATGGCTGATAACAACAACAGCAGGCCGAACACCAACAGACGAGGAGTTGGGACACGCTTCTCCCATTCCCTTGCAGTGGGCGTTTGGCAAGATATGCTGCTTCTGAGCCTCAGTCGCCCCATCTGTAAAATGGGTGTGAGAGATGTCTTCTCTGCCCAGCCTCCCAGATGACAGGGAGTTAACGAGGGCAAATCCCACCCTCTCCCTGGCCCAGGGACAGATGGGAGCCATGGGGAGACATGGTTTTGCTGCAGAATCCTCTAAGGAAGCCACTGCTACTGGCTCCCCATGCCTTTTGTCGCTGGGTCAGCCACTCTTGCAGCTTTTTGGTTGGTACAATTCCTGGCCTTGGCTTTGTTGCCTCAGGAAAAAAATGGGTGCAACATCAAGCCCGGACTGGAGTGAGAAAACCAAAATGTTTAAGTCCGGGGTCTAGACGCTGACCACAAATGTCCCGTTTCCTTCTCTCCCCTCCCCTTCCCCGGTGCCTCTCCCATGTGAAACGCCAGTCACGGCTCATGGAACTCCCATTTTACAAAACTCCCTGCCCGCACCCAAATCCTCTATTCTGTAGCCTCTGAAAATGGAGAAAGCAATCAGAGAGGGTACAAGTGCAATAAGTGAAGTATGTACAACAGCTTGTAAGTCACAGGCCTTGTAAAACCGAAGGCATTTTTTAATTGTTCTTATTAGCAGTCCTTTTAAATGTTCTTACTATGCATTCTGCAGTAGCCACTGTGTTAACAATGTGGCGTTCTGAAGCCCAGAGTCCGGAGTTGAGGGGGAGAAGATTTGCTTTCTAGTCTCAGAGTCACCACAAATGAACCAGGTGACTCGGAGCAGTGACCTGAGCCAGTCACCTGACCCTTGGCCATGGCTCCCTCGTCATGACACTGAGAGGGTGAAATTAAGGAACAGGCAGAGAGGCCTCTGGGGAAAACGGAAACACCAGGTGTGAGCATAATCGTCATTGCTGCCCCTGACATCACTGACATGGTCCTGGTCTGCAGAGTGAGGCAGGATTATGACAGAGCTCTAAGGATGTGAAGGAGTCCCAGTGGTGCGGTGGTAAGCGCTCAGCTGCTAACTGAAAGGTCCACAGGAGAAAAGACCTGACCATTTGTTCCCATAAAGATCACAGGCTAGGAAACCCTAGGAGGCCGTTCTACTCTGTCATACAGGGTCACTGTGAGTTGGAATTGAGTGGACAGCACACAACACCACCAGGGTATGACTCTTGGAGACAGACCATAGGAGCACAAGTTAAGGCCCCTGAGATGCAGATTAGCCATAAGAAGGTCTACCTAGGATCTCCCTTCCCGAGAGGGAGAGAAGCTAACAATGAATGGGCAAAGCATGGCTGTCCCTGGTTTTGAAGTAGCACATACTTCATTTAGGTTGGTTTATGTAAAGGGAGCTTGTACTGTGGTGGCTTGTTCGTTGCTGTGATGCTGGAAGCTATGCCACCAGTATCTCAAGTACCAACAGGGTCACCCATGGTGGACAGGTTTCAGTGTAGCTTCCAGACTACGACAGACTAGGAACAAAGGCTTCCAAAAATCAGCCAATGAAAACTCAATGGATCACAACAGAATACTGTCCAGTAGAGGGCTAGGAAATGAGCCCCCTAGGTTGGAAGGCACTCAAAATCCACACTGGCCGCAACCATGGACTAGAACCTATCAGTGATCATGAAGATGGTGCAGGACCAGGCAACATGTCGTTCTGTTGTGCAGGGGTTGTCACGAGTTGGAGACAACTCGATGGCAACTAATAACGTGTAAAGGGTGAAGGACAGGAGAGCAGGGTGCAGATTCACCTCAGTTACTGGTGTTTTACTAGAAGCTCCAGACACACTTGCAGGCCAGAGGAGCAGGGGCAGATGACCCCATAAGCAAGCTAAACACAGGTGATTGTTCACTACCAGACTAGTAAGTAAGCACAAGTAAGCCCATGCTTACCTTGCTTACTGGGTCACGTGCCCCTGTCAGGGATTGTAAATTTGAAAAGAGGCTTTGATTCTGAAGGAAGGTGCTGTGGGGTTGGGAGAGAGACAGATGTCAGCTGTAGCTAGAAGCAGAATCTTTGATGTGGTGAAAATACATGAAATGGTTCGCTACAGGTGATCTGGTAAGCAAGGAAAACACTGTGCTTACCTTACCTAATGATAACCCACCCCTGCAGAGGAGGCTATTCTTGAAGAAAGAAGCCAGCACAGAGGACTGCTCTCAGCACCTGACCTCTTCTGCCAGCCGACATTCTTGAGCACTTACCAGAAGGCTCTCCAGGTGGAGAGGCCAGCCCCTCGCAAGGGCAGGCTGACGGCAAGGCCCTCCGGGAAATTCTGGATCCCGATTCCAATGGCTAAATTCCTGAAAGACCAACAGGGCTCATGAAGGCTGTGGTCAGGAGATGTATGCCCACCCAGATGAGGCCCCAAGCATCCCTCAGTGTTAAAGATCCAGGAGGAGGGCTGTGATGTGCGGAGGAAGGAGAAAAGGTTAGGATACAAGTGTAGGTGGCCAGGAGGTGACAGGGACCTTCCTCCATCCTATCCCTGGATCCCTGGGCACGCCATATCCTTAGGGTGCTATGGTATAGCAGAGAACACATGGGGTTGAGTGTTGGGACGACCCAAGTTCTGCCACTTAGTTGTACAACTGTGTGCAAATTACAGTCGATCTTCATTATTCACGGATTCCATATGTGAACATTTGCCTACTCCCTAGAATTTATTTCTGACCCCCAAATCAATACTCAAGGCACCCGTGCAGTCATTTGTGGGCATGCACAGAGCAGCAGAAAAATTGAATCACCCAACGTGCGCATTCCCAGCTGAGGCTGAACGAGGTGATGTGCTACCTTCTCGTTTCGCCTCTCAGTCTGTAAACGAGCAGCCTTTTCACAGTCTATTTAGTGCCATGCTTTTGGCATTCCTGTGCTTTTTCTGGGTGAGTTTGCTGTTTAAAATGTCCCCCAAGCACAGTGCTAAAGTGCTGTCTAGTGTTTCTAAGTACAAGAAGGCTGTGATGTGCCTTGTGAAGAAAGTATGTGTGTTAGATAAGCTTTGTTCAGACATGAGTTATAAGGCTGTTGGCATGAGTTCAACGTTAACGAATGAACAATATATATTAAATGCTGTCAGATGCCGTTGAGTCAGTTCTGACTCATAGCGACCCTATGTACAACAGAACAGAACACTGCCTGATCCTGCACCAACCACATAATCTTTGCTATGTTTGAGCTCATTGTTGCAACCACTGTGTCAATCCATTTCGTCAAAGGTCTTCCTCTTTTTCGCTGACCCTCTACTTTACCAAGCATGACGTCCTTCTCCAGGGACTGGTTCCTCCGATAACATGTCCAAAGTATGTGAGATGAAGTCTCACCTCCTCACTTCTAAGGAGCATTCTGGCTGTACTTCTTCTAAGACAGATTTGTTCATTCTTCTGGCAGTCCATACCCATTGCTGTTGAGTCAATTCCAACTCAGAGACTCTGGTATACCATATTTTTACACAGATAATGCACGCCTTCTACGTTTGTTTGCCAACCACTCCCTCCCTCTGTGAGGTATTTTGGTAAGCCCACTATGTTTGTTTTTTCTTTACAGCTACATGTAAAAAAATTAGCATAGCAGTGCTTATGAAAATACCTCACGGGGGGTGGGGGAGGGAGTGGTTGGTAAACAAACGTAGAAGGCGCGCATTATTTGTGTGAAAGTACGGTATTCAATATTCTTCACCAACACCATAATTCAAACACATCAATCCTTCTTCGGTCTTCCTTATTAAATATATTAAATATATCAAATAAGTTCTCTTTAAACAGAAATACACACAAAACAAGGTTATATATTGATAGGTTGATGAAAATGTGGTCCGAGGCTCACAGGAACCTAACCCTGTATTTCCTCTAGAGCAAAGGTTCAGTATTTGTCAATTCAGTGTTCCGTATGACTTTATAAAACACGATTACTGCAACAGTGGATTCAAACACACCAACGAAGATGGTGCAGGACCGGGCAATGTTGCATTCTGTTATACAGTTGCCTCTGAGTGACTCTTAAGATTTTGCCCTGGGCAGCTGGGGGACGTCTTACTCTTCTTTCACAAGCGACTCTACTTGGTGAGTTTACCAGGCAAGGAGTCAACTGTGGTTTACGTACTCTCCAAGGCAGCCCCGATCTATCCCAGCTTAACAAGAGAGAATGGGGATTTGGAGAAATTAAACCAATTGCTGTTGAGTTGACTCTGACTCGCATTGATGCGATGTGTGTCAGAGAAGAACTGTGCTCCAAAGGGTTTTTAATGGCTGATTTTTCAGAAGTAGATCACCAGGCCTTTCTTCCGAGGCACCTCTGGGTAGACTTGGACTGCCAACCTTTTGGTTAACAGCATGCACTTAATTGTTGGCACTACCCGGGGACTTCCTTGGAGAAATTAGTCAGGGTCAAAGAGAAATCTGGTTAGAGATTCTTAGGAAAAAGCTGTTATTCTGTTCCTTTGCTTTTTGAAACATGTATGCATGTGTGGTGGTGGGTGCTGGTGGGCCACCTGGCCTTTGCTCCTTTTCTGGGTTCCTACCCACCATTCCTTAGGCAGTATGTAGGGCAGAGTAGAAGGGCCAAGGGTTCCCTTTCTCACTTAAAAAGGCTCAAGGACAAACTCCTCTGTTACTCTGCCAGGGAGGGTGGGGAGTACCTGCCTGTGGGACCTGGGTTTGGGATCAGAGCTAAGATCCTCACTTTTTCTTGCCTCCTAGGCCCCGGGGGTAGAAATCCAAACCCGGCTTTGGAACATATCCTCAAGCCCTGCTCAATCTATAGGACTCCGACAAGCATGCTCCAGCCAGCTTGTTCTAGAGGCTTCTGCTACCGGTTCCCTAGCCAAGCGGACCCTGAGCTCCCACTCTAGCGGCAGGGCCATTTTAAATCTACTTCTGTTGAGGAGGTGTCCCGGTGGTGCAGTGGTTAAGAGCTCAAGCTGCTAACCAAAAGGTTGGCAGTTCGAGTGCACCAGGCGCTGCTTGGAAACCCTATGGGGCAGCTCTGCTCTGTCCTGCAGGGTCACTGTGAGTTGGTTTCTGTTTTTTTTCTGACGAGGAAAAGAACCTGAAGGACAGATCCTGGCCAGAGTTTCGGCAGCCTGAGCCCTGCCCTCCTGAGCAGATCTCACAGCCGGGCCCCTTCCCTCAGGCCCTTTCCAGTCTCTCCTCACCGTCCCACAATGGTGGGGGGAATACACCCCCCTTTCTTGACCCATTGCAAGGCCCCAAGTCCAAGGTTTCTTTCCATCATGGAAGGCTGAGGGGTCTGACATGACCTGTGGTGAGAGCATGTCAGGGCTGCCCCACTGTTCCCACCCTCTCCTGCCTCCCTGGTGCTGTTCACAGCCAGGTGCATGACTTACCCAGGCCTAACCACGGAGCTGCCAGGCTGAGGTCCCACGGCAAGTCAGAGGTGGGGCCCCCGCTTCCAGCGCTGCCCCCCTGATGCGGCGCTGACTACAGCAGGCAGGCTGTGGGAGCCTCCTCCGTATCGTGTCCCGATAAGCGGCACAGAAGCCCCATTCTTCCACCCTGGCCAGCCTCGTTACCTCTGCCCTGCCCGCTCTGCCTGGCGCTCCTGGCCCACCAGGCACCACACCCTCTGCGTCCTGCCAACCTTCTCAGCCCGGCCTCGCTGGGCACCACAGAGTCGCTCTGAGTGCCCCGGGCTCCTTCCCCACCCAGCAAGGGCTGGGGCCACGGCTTCTCTGCCTTTCCACCTTCCAACATGTTCCTCTGTAACTCTGGCTCTCTTCTGTGTGTGTGTGTGCACAAACATACACACTCACAGACACACGAACGCAGATACCCACAGACACGCATTCATAGAAACTCACACACTCACATACATACACACACACACAGACACACACAGAAACTCACAGACACACATACATACGCACTCACACAAACACTCACAGAAACTCACAGACACACTCACATACATCCTGACAGACACACTCAAACACAGACACATACACACTCACACAAACACAGATGCACTCACAAACACAGACACACACAGTCACAGACACACAGACACATTCATGTACATACACATACACACTCAGACACACAAACACAGACACACGCACGCACATATACACACACACTCACACAGACACACACAAACTCACATACGCAGTCACACACACACACATACACACACATTCACACTCACACACTCATGTTATGTGTGAACCAGGCTCTGGCCCTCCCGTGCCCTCCCTGGCTGTGTGCTGTGCATCTGTTACGTGTCGACCAGGCAGGGTGACCCAAGGAAGGGCTCAGTCCCCTCCACGTCCTCTCCACCACTTGCACCAGCTCAGAAACGTGACTTCAACCAACAGCTCCCACCCCGGCTACGCGTTACCGCCACCGGCGTGCTTTCAGCGAACACCAATGCCTCGCCCCCACCCCCTCGAGCTTCTGCTGACTTGCTGGGGCCAGCGATTTCAGGAGCATGTTGTCAGTGCTGAGAACCACTGAGCTAGGCATCACCAAGGGATGAGGGTGAGGAAGCCGGCAGTGCCCACTCCATCTCAAGGAGCCCGTCCCCGCTCCCCAGTGACCAACTGCACAGCCGGGGAAAGCAGGCGCCGGGTGGTGGCCACCCGCGCACGGGTCAGGCAGCCAGGCAGATGGGTGCTTACTGTGTGCACAGCCTGATTTGGGGAGCCCTGGAGGGGGTCCTGAGAAACACCGGGCAGGAGTATCAAAGCAGGCGGGTAGTTGGGGAGACAGGACGTCTAAACAAAACGATGGGGTAACAAGGAACACGTGGCTGGGGGCAGAGCGGGGGGACGGGAACTCAGGCTCCTCAGGGAAGGTCCCAAGGCAAGCTCTGAGCTGACGAAGGAGCATGGGGGCTGGTATGGATTAGACTGTGTCCCCCCAAAAAAAGAAATATGGAAGTCCTAACCCTGCACCTGCAAATATGCCCCTGTTTGGAAATAGGGGCTTTCTTTGGTACGTCAATGAGGTCGCAGGAGAGTAGGGCGGGTCCTAACCCTAATACCTTCGAGTGGTGTCTTCAAAAACAAGCAGAATAGACACAGAGACACACGCAGGGGTCAGACAGATGCCATGTGAGGACCATCCACAGGCAAAAACAGACAGAAAAAAACGTACGGATTGCTCCAGACACCAGAGAACCAGGAGAGGCCATAGAGGGAAACGAGATGGCCAACACCCTGGTTCGAACTTCTAGCCTCCAGAACTATGAGGCAACAAATCTCCTTTCTTTAAAGCCACTCACTGTGGCATTTTGTTAAGGCCACCCTAAGAGACTAGGAGTGGCTGGCAGGGGTGGAAGTTGGTGAAAG